TAGCTCCTCATTATTTTATCAGTCATACTTAGTTGTGTAACCAAAATCCGTCATTTCTGTAAAACATCTAAGGCCAGTGATAAGAGAAAACTCTCTCAACATAAAGTTCAGCCTCTCATCCTTTATCTCTGCTGTAAAAAAGTCAGAACCAGATGCGTTCAATTCGTGCTTCATGAGAATGTGAATTGCCTGAGTTGGATACATATTTTGGGCAGGGAAAGAAAAAACCCAAAACATGGCTTCTTAAATAACTTTAACCCATTTACAGATAATAACACCTTGATTTGACCAGGAATATCAGGATCGGATAATGTCTGGAACCCAGTGATGCCATAATCAATATCATGTGGTGAAAAAAATGTTCGATTCTGCACCAAAAGAAACAGTAAGTTAATAAAACTTGTTTGAAGACTAAAAAATAAAATAAATACATTTCAACTACAATTTAGCTACAATCAAAAAGACATTAATACATTGCATACAAGTAAGTTACAAAATTAGTAAACATATATAACAACTGACTACATTGAAGTTACAAATGCACTGATAAAATTATGTTTAGAGCAAAAAATTAGAAAGTAATAACTACACATAATATATACAATTTCTTTACAGAAAATGAAACTAACATCTACAAAATAGAGCAAATAATAACCAATAAAACCAACTAAATCATGTAGTACATTCCCTAACAAAATAATTTCGAATAATATACAAGAAATCTACAATTTACAGGAAAATGTAGAAAAATTGATAACCTACAACAAATATACACAATGTAGACAAAATATTTACAAATATAAAAAGAAACAAAAAATATCTATAGTCATGAGAATAAGAATAGGTTTTTTAACTTTAAAAAAAAATCAAAATTGTAACTAATAAAAATTTACCTTCTCCAATGATTGTTTGGGTGTAGTTTTTGGTGATTTTTGAACCTTCTTCTTTTTTGAAGGTTTGACAGTAGGAGAAACTCTGATTTTTTTTGTGTGCAGCTTTCGAGATAACTTCTTCTTCGACGAAATCATCATCGCGAGCAATTTCTTTTCCCTTCCACTTTAATGATTTAGCAGATGTCGAAACTTGACCAGCATCCCTATCATGCTTAAGTTTTGTTCGAGCTTATGTCCTAGCTTTACGATGGGAAAGCTTGGACTTTTTTTCTGATTTTGCATGTGCCAATTTCACTGCTTTTTTGGGTGAATCCTCTGAGAAAACACCCAAATCAAAAGTAGGAATATCACCAATATTAGCTTTTTTAGGGCTAATCTTCGGAACTGCTTTCTTCTTCATTGAAAGGGAAGGAAAAATTTAAGCCACTATTATTTTGGTAGGATTTAGAGCTAGAATTCAAAAAAATTGAGAGAGATTTTTGAAGAAAAGTGAAAGACGGGCGTTAATAGAAGGAGATAGTGCAGAAACGTGGGGGTATGAAGAGAGAAACGTGGGGGATTGTGATATGTACGTTAGAGAGATTATAGGAGTTAATTGATTCTCATTAAATTTCTAAAATGTACATAATTGATAAATTGTATATGCCTATGTAATTAAATTAAAACTTGAGTAAGGAGGGTAATAAAGTTTCAAATAGTGTATAGGAATGTAAAAATCCCTTACAATTACTTGTAGTTGGCTTTAAAGAATTACACAAATAACCATTTTAGCCATTTTTTGGATTGCTATTTAGGGATTAGCTATTACTTATTTTGTCTTGAAAATTTGAATTAAAAATATTAACTTCAGAACTTTGTGTCCTGAAAAATTAAATTAAAAAACTAAATTCAGGATAAAGTGACTAATTTCTAAATAACAGCCCTCTAGAATAGCTACCTGGTACATTTCTACTTAAATAATCTAATGCTTGTTCAGAAGTTAAATCTATGTTAAACTCAATTTTTAAAGCCTGATGGGCTAGGTCTATCTTGTAACATAGGGCTGCAGATAATTTTTCTTGTTTTTTGGGAAAAATACAGAATTGGCTGATCGGTTGAAATTAATTGTATTTGCTAGTCAAAAAATATATAAAATCTGTATATTATATGTATATATACAAAATATATGTATATATTATCAGCTATTATTTTTGGCAACAGCTAAAAACATACATTTTTGTTTCTTTCTTTTGGGTGCAAATATGTCATATTGTAAAAAAAGCACGGGCTAGCCAGTTATCGGACTGATAATTAAAAAATAGTTAGCGTTTGCATAGTCATTGAAAAATAGCCACTATTTTGCTGCAACACGGGCCGATCCAGCAAAATATACTGGAGATTGGTGCACTTGTGTATGAACTTCCAGCATATTATGCTGGAACTCCAACACGCGAAAAGTTCCAGCATAATATACTGGAGAATGGAGCATCTGTGTATGAACTTCCAGCATATTATATTGGATCGATATATTATACTGGAACTCCAGTATATTGTGCTGGAATATTTTCTGGATTTTGAACAGTATTTTCGTTCAGATTTATCTTTACATGAAAAGTGGCTAAAATTCGATTACTTTTGAAATTGTGACTATTTTTCAATTACCGCTTGTAAATCTGACTATTTTTTTAAATTTTTCCCTGTCATATTTCCATACGATTAGTGACTTGGGCTATCAGAAAGTTTGCAACTTGGCGCAATTTAAGTTCCCTTTTTGAGTGACCCAAATGAGAAAACACTAAGCTGGTGGATTGGCACTATTTTCTGACAAGATACAAATTGCTAATTCTTGTCAGGTTAGCAGCTAATTTAAACTACCGCAAATGGGCCATATATACTCATGTATTTTCGAAAATGGTATAAAAATATCATTCATTATACTATTGGGTTATCTATATCCCTGCAGTTATACTTTGGGTTCAAATATACCCCTCATTTAAACGGGGACACGTATCATCATCTTGTTGGTCAATTCTAAATACTTCCTAATTAATTTAAAAAACTCATTATCTATACCTGAAAAATAATTTTATAAAGCAATTTTTTTTTGTAAAAACTTTTAAAAAACTGGTTTTTTTTAACCAAAAACTGAAAAAAAACTAAAATATTTGTTTTCCAGTTTTTACAAAAAACTGCTTTAAAAAAAATTGAAAAGCGATTTTCTAAAGCAATATTTTTGTAAAAACTAGAAAAAACTGAATGTGTTTTTTTTTTTTACTAAAAACTGAAAAAATCAAAAATATTTTTTTTCCAATTTTTAGAAAAATATTGCTTTAAAAAAAACTGAAAAATAATTTCTAAAGCAATTCTTTTGTAAAAACAAAAAAAAAAATTGAAAAGCAATTTCTAAAGCAATGATTTTTAAAAGCTGAAAAAACAAATATTTTCTTTTTTTTCAGTTTTTAGTTTAAAAAAATTCAGTTTTTTTTCAATTTTTAATTGCTTTAAAAAATCGCTTTTCAGTTTTTACAAAAATATTTTTTTAGAAAATATGTTTCAGTTTCTTTTAAAGCAGTTTTTTTATAAAAACTGGAAAAAAAATATTTTCATTTTTTTTAGTTTTTAGTAAAAAAAAATTCGCTTTTCCAGTTTTTACAAAAAAATATTGCTTTTCGGGTATGAGTAATGAATCTTTTTAATTAATTAGGAGATATTTCAAATTGGCCAACAGGACGATGACACGCGCCTCCGTTTAAATGAGGGGTATATTTGAACCCAAAGTATAACTGCAGGGGTATAGATAACCTGATAGTATAACGAGGATATTCTTAGACTATTTTCGAAAGTACAAGAGTATATTTGGACATTAGCCGTTTAAATTATCTCAAACCTACTCTCAATAAAATAAAAATCAATAATCTCAAAGCTTGGTGTGTCAATAGTTTTATCCAAATTGTAGTAAAAGATTTTTTCCGATCAGACAACCAAAAATCAAACAACAACAAACTGGCCTGTGATTGAAACCTAAGTTTCGGGAAAATTAGACTAGGGAAAATCCGATTTCACCTCCAAAATGCAATGTAGCTGGTCTACCATTGAATTACCTTTTAATTCTCGATTGTTAATTACATTATGTTTCTTTGTCCATTAATAAGAGACAACTGTTGTATCTTAGGTTATCAACTATTCCAGATATAATGGCATTTCATGTGACAATCAACCCAAGTTTTAAGGCGTACTTTTCTGTATTTCTAGAGATGATTCAACACCCTTTTAGGCAAATTTATAATCGTTGGTATCTGAACCCCTTCGACTTTAATTGTTTTTTTTTTTTCGCATGTACTAAGAAATTCACCTTTTATCATTAACTAGTTTTAGTGTACGTGCGTTGCACGTGTTCTTCGCGTCGATTAATAAAAACTAAACACAAGAAGAACAAATTAATGATAAATAGCACTTGATACTAAAAGTAAAATAAATGTCACATTTGTATTAGATATAGTTTGAAGGTTAATTAAGGGATGTCGCACAACACTAACCGGAATATCGTTCAATCACTAATTAGTTAAATTGCATCTAATTTATAAAATAACAATATTTATGTACCTTAAAATCTAAGAGTAGTTTTAATCTTTGTTAACGTACTCCTTTGTTCTAATATTCTAGCTCTTTCATTTCAAAATTGTAACAATCAACACAATTCGGGCAGTAATGCTAAACCAGTGTTGGCCAGCAGCAGTAAAACAAGTATCTTAACAATTCTAACACAATTGTTCAGATTATAATCTACATTATATTAGCATTATATCTACATATAGCCTAAATTACCAATAAATAATCTACATTATATTTTCAATTATTTTCTTAGATACATGACACATGAATGACATTCAAAATGAGGAGAATATTCCTGTAGGTATTGACTTATCTTCCCAATTTCAAGGGGCATTGGATGAAGAAACCGCATGTATGATTTAGTACATTTTATCAACATATTTCACAATACATATTGCATCTCAGCTACATGATAGCATTTCAACAAATTTACTACAATTAAACTACAATATATCTATAGTGTTGTTTCTGTTTACTATAAATTATCTATAATTTTATTAAGTTGTACACATTTATTGTAATAGAGAAGGAAACTATGCATGTGGACTCTCCAAAACAGGATGCTAAAGTTGGCATACAAGGAGAACATTTAAATGAGGAGGAGACTACGAATTTGCCATCTCCCATTCAACAAGCAAATGTTATACAACAAGGAGACGATTGTTGTGAAGATTTCAATGGTATTATATGTTACAATATAATTGTAGGAAAAAAACAACAGGTTTTATATAAGTTTCAATTTTCCAAAAAGAACTGATGCAACCAACATACAATGTTGTTCTTTTGTTTTAAATTTTGAAGGTGAACCGGCCGACTATATCAATATAAGTGATTCGGACAATGACTCCAGGTCTGGAAAAAGGGAAGTAACACTTGATGATTTTGAGCTGCCAGAGAACTTCTCTCAGATTGTTAAGGCCGGTGAGCTTGATGAAGATGAAACAACCCCTGTGCATCAAGGAAGAACAAGGCAACTTGGAAAGTATACTAGATCCCACTTTCTCCCTTTTTACAGTTCTGGGGGAAGCACTTCTATTGGACCTCCAATTTTCCTCATCAAGCATCCATTTACTGGGGTTATTGACGACGATGTTGATCTTGACTTATTGGAAGAATTCAATAAGTGGTTATACTTTGGTACCGATACAGTTTCAAAGAGGTTAGATTATATATTATTTTTCATATTATCGAGTGCATATAATTTTTGAATTTTCAGTTGAAACTACATAATAATTATACTTGCTATGTATTTAAATAGGAGGAAGGCGCTTTATTCTTTAAAAGATAAACAGCTCAAGCCGTGATATGATCTTGGAGTGGAGAAAGTTGATAAAAAGGAGTGGTTTTATACTTTGGCACATCCCAGGCAAGTCCTCAACGACACGGTACATACATACCCTGCATAATTTAATGATTAGCTGTAGTATTCTGTTATTTTAGAATTCTGTAGTTTTTTTTGTTTGAAAATTATAGTTAAATTGTATGAAGCATTGAGAAATAATGAAATCTATTTTTTTTTGCAGTACATTGATGTTATTTTATACTATTTGAGGAAGAGAGAAAAGTATGGTCCTCAAAATAAAATACGGTTTACAACCACTAACTATATGTTCAAGACTAGAATTGAATAAATTTTTTAGAGGTACATTAATGCTCCTGCCGATAAGAAGCTGGTTGTTGTCAAACCCCAGGATGTCGTATCAGAATACATATTAGGGTACATGTTACTTGCAAATATTACATGGGATAAAGTTGATTTTATGATTATGCCCATAAACATTGTGGAGAAATTTTATTGGTTGTTGGCTGTGTTTGACATTACCGATAGAATTCTATATGTTTATGATTCTATGGTCTTTTCACGAAATCACAACCTTGTTGAATATGTTATCAACAAGTTTGATGTTATGATCCCCCTCTACTTGTCATGCATCGGCTTCTATGGCAAGCGTCTAGACATCAACTACAAGAACACAAAGACATACATTAAAAAAGGTGTTACTGACCCTCTTGACATTCCGTGGTTGGTCGGTGAGATAAACCAGCAAAAAGAGGGATCACTGTATGAAAAAACTGCTTTTCCTTCTATCTATTTAACATATTGTATTTTATACTGAATGTTAAATATTTTCCCCTATTGTTTTTTTTTGCAGTGACTGTGGTGTATATGTGGCGGCATTTGCAGAATATGTCTGCATTGGAGAGCTAGCGATTCCAAAAGAAGACCTTTCTGATATTGATCAACACTGTAGACACTATAGAGCGCTACTTTGGGATTATGCTAGGAAAATCAAAAGCTTGGAACAATTAGTGAAAAGGTGCACCAGCTGTGAACGAGAGAACACAAGTTCGGAAAAAGAAGAATTAGTTGCCCTTTTCAGTAGAAAAATTGTAGTTAAAGTGTTTAGTTGTAGCTGGTTTGTAGTAAAGTTGTAGACAAAATGTTAACTAAGAACAAGTCAGCTGTAATTTATTTGTAGCAGATTTGTGCTACAGTTGTTTTACCTTTTGTTTTGTTATTATTGGTCCAGAATTCTACTACTTAGAATAGAAAACATCTGTGGCTTTTTTTGGTTGAAAGTTGTTAGTACTTGATCTCGATATTGCTACTATATAATTTCTTTACAGTTTAACTATAATTATGTCTACAACTACTATACAAAAATACATAATCCATTCAATTTTAAGCAGTGTTGTTAGGAAAGGCTGAAAAGTAATAAATAAACGCAGTATTTGAACAAAACAAATACAAACCAATTGCATTAAGAGTTGAAATCTTTTTATCAAATATTTCATTATAGGAGACAGTCTTTATTCAAATTAGCAACACAATTACACCTCAAATATAATTCTCCAGAACAGAACAAAGACAACTTCATATGTCTTAAAGGACATATTATCATCAACAATGCTCAGGAAAAACAAATCTTGTGACTGTATCAATTTTTATTTTCTTTTGGGAGCATTCCTACAAGATCTTTTGTTATGCCCTTCTAGTCCGCATTTTCCACATGAAACCTTGTACTTCTTTGCATTTACTTCATCATATGGTTTGTATCTTTGTTTTTGAGGTCTCGTTGACTGTCTTTTCCCAGTAGGTGGCATTACAACTTTTTTAGTTATATGTTGTGGCACATTCCATTTGCTTTCGTTAAGCAACGGGTCTACTGGTATTTCATAAGTCTGCAAAAGGCTCTCCCTCGTGTAATAAGGAGAACAATAGTTTTCATAAGACTCGTTTATGTGCCTTAAAGCCGCCAAAGCATGTGTACAAGGAAGTTCATCAAGATGTAATTATCCACAACTACATCTCTTGTTTGGAAGGCAAACAACGAAGCGCTTCACACCATCTATCACAGTATGGATGTGATCTGTGGAAGCCCTTACCTACAATTTCATTACAAACACACAACAAGTTATCAGCGACAGATACAAAAATAAAATAACTACAATTATACAATAACTTTTCTACAATTAACAGTATATATTAAGTTTGATGGAATCAACGATCTGATGTTATTGTCTATAGCTTACTCTGATCTTTTGTGATAATGTCTTGTTGTCCTCTAACTCTTTGTTGTATTTTTTCCCAAGGTATGTGAACGTACCCTTTGCATTCAATAACTTTTCATTAGTCCAACCTTCAAGAAGAGTCCTAATGTACTCTAATAGTTCTACTACGGGTGCATCTTTCGTTACTGCATTCAATGACTCTGCAATGTTTGATGTCATCATCCGCGTTCTTGTCACGACCCAAACCGATGGGCCATGACAGGCATCCGCTACCTTACTCAACTAAGTACCAACGTAACGTATCTTTTGTTTCATACTATCATAGGTAATTGAGCCGGAGAGGCTGTCGTGAGATAAGTAGAATAAAACATGAGGAAATACTCAATATAGGGTGACCCAACTTGATATACCGACTTATACAAATGATGTAATGGACTATAAGGCCATACCAATATCCGTCTACAAGACATCTGTCTATAAGCCTCTAAGAGTACATAAATATCATAAAGGTCGGGACAAAGTCCTACCATACCAAACAATACATATTCAAATCATACTGATCAAATAGGCAACTCCGGAGCAAGTGGAGTGCACAAACACCTTATACTGAGCTGATAGCCTACTAGGAAAACTCTCAACCTGTCTATTGGGACCTGCGGGGCATGAAACACAGTATCCCCAGGCAAAAAGGACGTCAGTACAAATAAAGTACCGAGTATATAAGGCATGACAATAGTATATAAAAGACATAAAAGAAACATGGAGTAAAGAACTCAACCTGAAATTATGAATAGCTCTGTGAATCATGAAAATTTATAATGTCATGCATGTGTGTATAAATATCATACCATGCATAGGTATATGCGTTCATAACATCATCAAGCCTCTGAGAGCATCCCATCATATCATCTCAGCCACTATGGGCAAAATCATCAACGTATACCAGCTGATCAAGTGGTGGTGCGTATATAACGCCTTAACCTTTTTCCATATCCCATATACATATAATATACATGTATATAATTCCTTATGGTCATGGGTCAATGTACATGTATAAATGCATGAAATGCATAAGAAATACGTTAATAAGATTTTCTCGGAATGTCATAAAAATAATATGATTGTCGGATAAATTTTATCAAATATATATTTTTCTGAGACCCATGAATAGAAGATATAATAATTCACATGGGGAATCAAGAATATAGACACCCCTAATATTTCTATGAATAGAGTCATTTATGAAAGTTGCGTATTTTGCTCGTTTCGTTTGTATCATTTGGATCATGCCAAAAGAAAAAAGGGATAGCCTTAACATACCTTAAATCCATTGAGTCCTTAATACCTTCCAAGAAATTCTTCAAACAACTCAATTCAATCTACCACATTATAAGGAGATTCAAAATCAGTGTTGAGTAAAGGCTAAGTCCTCAACTTAAACTAGTAGCTCGTTTACGTAAATTTGGGCAGCATCTCCCCTGTAACTAGGCCCTCATCCAATACCTTATAACAAAAGCAATAAGAACACAACAATAAAAGCATGTAAACATAATTTTCCAATCTTATCTCCATCACAATATACCATAAAACAGCCCACACACCCTAATCACTTCATACATAAAACGACAACCAAAGTAGTGTCAAACAACTTAAAAAAATATAACGACGAACGACCAGCCCACCATTCCGTAATTATGTGGTGTTTATCCACTCCATTTGTCCTCCAAAAATCCATTAAACAGTAGAAAAATATACAGCCCAAAGGCAATACGAAACAGCCCACAAAACAGTCCACTACAAGTCAAATAACTCGAACTCACGGCTTCCGATCACCGTCCCGTGAGTTCTAACTATTAGGACTTGATATTTAAACACTTAAATACAGAAAGTACATATTTTCTTAACTATTAAGTACCTTCCAAAACTCAAACTACAAAGAAAAAGAGAGGCGATATAGCGATACTTACGTCGTAGGGATCGTTTTAATGTTATCGCTTCTTGATTCCGTGTCCGGGATGATAGTATTGTTTGAAGCTCTTGCAGAGAGCTTAAGAGTAAATTTAGGGGTGTTATTTGGGTGAGCTCTCTGGAAAAATGGAGAAATAGACGAGATGGGATGTAAATATCCCATTTGTTTTAAAAGTCATAAAGGCGAAACTTGGCACCCTATGATTGGTCCTTCTTCCAATGCTTATAACTTTTTATACGGGTATTGTATGAACGAATGGTTAAGTACGTTGGAAACTATATTCCAAGACCTTAAATTTGATATATAATATGTCCCCAAAAGACCTCATATATTACACTAAATATATTTCTCAAAAAGCTCTGTTACATTGCAAATCCTTAGTCGGTGTTTCCGCAACTTTAATCCGATTTTTCTCAAACTTCATATTTTCTATCCAAACATAATATATTGCCATATTATGACTTTAAAATTATATAAATCACGATTAAGAAGTCTCATATTCATTACGTCACCTTGGGACGCACAAGGTGTAACAATCTTCCCCCCTTAGAAACATTCGTCCTCAAATGTTAAACTCCTAGAAATCTATAGAAATTTTGGCAGATTCTCATCTGTAACGGTACTACTACCAACTTGTCACACAGAAAACTTAACAATACAAATCCACACAGGGCCACAATCATCAATAACACTAATGGCCTCACACGACCAATGACAATATCCAACATAAGAATCAAGTACCATATACGTACCTAAAGGCTGTGATGTTTCAGTCTGATCCTTCTCCGGAAGTGGAAACAAGTGAGGATACCTAGTCTTCATTTCTTCTTCAGTTGCCCGAGTCATCTCCTCCACATTATTGTTAATCCAAAGTACTTTAACCAAAGCTATATCCTT